TCTATCTATCTATCTATCTATCTATCTATCTATCTATCTATCTATCTATCTATCTATCTATCTATCTGTTGCATTTGTGCTGCTAAATAATGCAGTATGCTCCCTCCCATATTTGGGCATACCAGGGGTTGTGACACAACACAATGTTTGTTTGTGTGTCTGTGTGTGTGTGTGTGTGTGTGTGTGTGTGTGTGTGTGTGTGTGTGCATGCATAGGCATAGGCATATGAAATTGTTGTATTACTTTTTTGGACACTTGCTTTGGAAATAGCCTCTGATTGTAATGTTTTAATTGTTTGTTATGTATATTACCCAGAGTCCTGATAGAGCCAAACAGTCTATAAATTAGATAATAATTTATATATCACATTAATAGGACCAGAAGGACTTTAGAGGCCAGGAATATGAATCTATGCTCAGGATAGGAAAGTTTAACTTATTACTATAATAGAAATTTGGAGTATAGTTGTACTAGAAAAAGATTTAACATATTTGTATTTTATGTCAATATAGATTTTAATAATTCTGCTAAAAGCATATTTTAAAAACAGAAAAAAGCAAGGATAAAAAGACAACAAAATAAAACAAAACCCATAAAACTGTAAGGCCCTTTTGGTATAGTGAAAAGAAGAAAGATAACTAGGATAAAAGAGAATTTTAGCATTATTAAGTAGGCAAGATGCATCACATATTATGATTCTTCAGAGTGCTATATTTTGTTTGTTCATAAATTAATATTAAAATTCTAGTCTGCAAATAGCTTGTCCATTACTGTTTTTGTGTGAAATACAAAATTGGTTATACTTTTAAAGTAGTAGATTATGTCCTATTTTTCTAGGGCATTTTCAATAACTGTCAGTAGTGTAGTTAATATTTATATCACATCTTCCCTTTAAGAATTCAGGATATTGTACAAAGCAGTTTCTCCTTCATTCCCCCCCCCCCCAGCTAATTTATAATTTGAAGCAGGTTGAGAAAGAGTTTCTGGCTGAAAGTCACCCAGTGAAAGTAGTGATTGAATAGAACTACCACCTTAGCCACTGTCCTCATCCTGGCTCTTTTGCTTTCTTTAATCAGTGGTGGGATTCAAATAACTTAACAACCAGTTCACCCAGGATCAGGTTGGCCATCATGGGGGGCGTGACCCATCCCCGTCCTCCAGCTGTGCCGCACATGGGGGACGAGCCTCCCACGACAGCCAACCTGATCCTGGGCGAACCAGTGTTGGTTGTTTCTGAGGTCTTGCCTGCATGTTGGTCTTGCTGCTGTTTTAGCCTTCTGGACACTTCTTCTTTAAGAGGCGAGGTTTCTGAGGAATGAGGAAGGGGGGGTTACCATAGAGACAAGAATTTGATGCTCCTGAGCACTCGGGGGGGGGGAAGGTTAAGAATTGGGGGAGAGGGATCCCCCCCTTCATCATGGAGCTGCATGCTGTTGGTTAGTCTCCAGGCAAAAGTGAGAGGAGCGAGGAATTAAGTTGGCTGCACGATCGAAGCTGGGCCCAATGTAGGGGAGACTGTGGGGCGGGGTTAGTTTGGCCAGGAAAATTATTACTACCCCCCCCCCCACACACACACACTATCAAAGTGGATCCTGGACTCTGTGTTGCAGTGGAGAAACAGACAATGGAGCAGCCGGCACGAGGGAAGGAGGGGGAGCAGGGAGAAGAAAGAGGAATAGTGGCCTTCTCCTTCCCTTGCGTTGGCTACTCCATTGTCCATTTCCATTGCAGCGCAGCACCTAGGATCCACTTTGATAGTGGGGTGAGTAATTTAACAACCAGTTTGTGTGAACCAGTACGAACCGGCCATGCTTCTACTGCAATTTAATAGAAGTGTATCATATAAGGGAACAAATGTCCCCTCCTCTCATTCTCAGATTAGAAAATTTCATCAGTTCTCCAAATCATGTGAAGCAGCAGCCAGTGAGTTGGAGAACAAATGCCCATTTGCTGAAGAATGGCTCCTACGGCAGCAATCTTCTGTCATGAAACACAAACCTTTTTTTTCTGATATAAGAAACAAGAAATCACAATGTTGATGTTGTTTTACCTTAAGTTAGTTGTAAACTTCCTCTGTCTCACCAAGGAAAACTAACCATTATGGAGGAGGCCTGTTTTCAGTTCAGTTCTGAACAGATGGATAAAACTGTCAGATTAATTTTAGCTGCCACTAATATAAACTCCATTAGGAGTGGGTGGGAGTTTTAACATAAGAGAAAAATAGGACGATACCAAACATTATTATTCCTTTACAAAATCTTTGTAATGATATGTTGGCAGCCCCTTTTCTCTGCCACCCCCCCCCCCCTTTTCTTAGTGATTGGTAAAAGATTAGGCAGAGGCAGCTATCAAAGAAACTGTAGATTTGGTACTACTGTCTTATAGATACACCCACCCACAATGTGGTCAGCACACCCACACCTGGTAATAATGATTCTCTGTTGGATAGAGAAGATGTAAAATTTGGCACTGATGTTTTGGAAACTTGGTGTGAATTGTTGCAATTTTCTATATGTCACTTTTGGCAGTTTTAGCCAATTTCTTCTGTTTTAACACCATCTTATAACTATGTAATCACATCATAGGTCTCTCTATACACCATATCTAACTTTATATATTAGATTTAAATAGATTTATATGATGCCATAAGTATAATTATACAACTGTAGAGTTAAAGTAGCCAGATGAGGTGTTGGTGTCCATGGGAAACAGGATGTTGAAACTGGGCTTTACTTTCTGTTCGTTTTGCAAGATGATCTGTAATTTTTCAATAAAATAAATCATTGCAGTTTTTATATTAGGAAACAAAAAAGTGACTAAGATTACCCTTTTTTGTTCAAAATGAGTTGAGGACCCAGCCAAATAAGTGATACAATACTGAAAATTGAGTTCTTTAGCCTTTTACTTGACAAATGGGAAAAAATTATTTTATGTGCACTTCTAAATGAATTGAACTAATTCTGTTCTCTAGCTTAATATAGAATATTAATACAGTAGTCATTTTTCTAAATGTTATTATTCACTTCTACTTCGAATGCTGCATGAAATGTAATTATTAAGAAAAATTGCTCATAAAATATTTATCTTATGAGACATCAAATATAATTCCACTGAAAACCACTTCTATAGAAGAAACTACATAACTTCGATATAGTCTTCTCTTTCTGGATTAGACAAAACTGGTTGTACTTATTTTCTCATTGGTCCTTTAATAAGGTGTTGCAGTCTGTTTTTGTATTCACTTTACTCATGTAAGGGCTGTCGAATACAGAACATTTACAAAAATCAAGTTGCTAATTTTTGCCAAACAACCATCTAGTAATTATAATAATTTTTAAAAATCATTATTTTTTCCCCAAAACCTTCCTTTTAAAAAGAAAGAAAGAAAAGAAAGTCTGTATTGACAAAAATTATATTATACTTTCAGGGGCTAACAGGGTCACATTACAAGATTCTAACATTCTGCAGCCAATGGGTTTGACTGTTCTGGGAAATCATCTCTACTGGATTGATCGGCAGCAGCAGATGATCGAAAGAGTGGAGAAAACCAATGGATACAAGAGGACCAGAATACAAGGTCGAATTGCTCACCTAACTGGTATACATGCCGTTGAAGATATTGATATGGAAGAATTCTGTAAGTTTATTATAATATTAAATTCTTAATGTTCTCCAATATCCTGTTACATTACCCTTTTTTATTCTCAGCTTGCTGCTCAGATTCGTGAGTCAGTTCTAATAGGAATTTTAAACTCTGAAGGACAGTTTTTATTTGAGTCTAAAAAAGTTTGGCATTGAATACTCTGAGATCTAGGATCAAGTGGAATTTGAACTTTGAAAAGCTAATCCAAATCCAGATCCTTATCATTATACCACATTGTTCACTTGCAAATAAAACAAACCCATATTCACATTGTGAATCTAACAATATAGCTCATCTGACTGAGACATTCTGATTTACTGTTTTTCAAAAGTGAGTAGAAATCAAGAAATAGCCATGTCTAAAACAAATGGACTTCATATGTGAAATGTTAGTAAACCCAACTCCTTTGTTTTACAATTCTTGATTTGATAATGATCACTGTATATAAAATAAAATAGTTTGTACCAATTTCAGGGCTGAATAACATAGTTGAATATTTATTCCAGAACATTCTCTTTTTTTTCCTTTTTAATTAGAATCAACTGAATGGCAATTCCAAGACTGATTTTGGTTTGCAAAATGAAGAATAGGAATAATAGGAAATGAGTATTCAAGTATGATCCAATTTTAAAATAGTGCACAACCACCACTTCTCTCATCATTGACTGCTATTTACTTATTTTTGTTTATTAGGACTATATTATCTACACATTTTTTTAAAAATTACATATAACACAAAATTAGCAAAACTATATAGATCTGACTTTCCTTATCAAAATGACAGAAAAGAAACAAGTCATAAGAAAGGCTTGTCTATAAACATATCATAATTGAAATAAAGGATTTGAACAGATTGCTCAGCAGTCTTCATTCTTGCATCTGAATCTGTCCTAATTCCTAAACTTATATTAGTCACTGCCAAAAAGCTTTTTAAATGCTTTATATATGTTGTTTAAATATTGTTTGCCATTGTTTTATAATAGATTTTTATAAGCTACCATGAGCCTATAGGAGTCACCAAAATATAAATTCAGTAAATAAATGCATACATCTTTCAGTTGTACCCTGTGTACAACTGGTCTGCATATTTTGTTGCTTGGAATATAGCCAAATAGCAGAAATGCATCTTTAATTGTCAGTGATTGAACTAAAACTTCACTGATGATACTATAGATTTCAATCCCCAAAGTGGCAATAGTGGGATATGCCCGGACCATATGAGATAATATTCCAATTTTTTATTTTTCTCTCCAGTTTCAGGGTGAATTGCATCCAATACAGAGGTGGGTTCCTACCAGTTTGTCCAAACTGGTAGTAGTATGCCGGCCTGGGTCGCAGAACAGGCAGCGACCCAGGCTGGCCATGCCCCCAAACCATCTTCTTTTTTAGTTTTGCACATGCGCAGAATAATTTCCATTGAACTGCCTATGCATGCACAGTGTGCATTCAGCGTGCACATGAGCAAACCAGCAGTAACGCCCACCCATGATCCAATATTTACTACAGATTCTTTCATGTCTCCCATCTAACAGAACATATACTATTATTCCAACCTCTTTTTAAGAAGGAATAAATTGATTTTGGTTGCTTCCTGAAAAGCCTCTACTGTCAAAATGTCAAAGATATCAATGGCAACAGGACTACATAGTCCAAATATACATATATACTCAACTTACTGTTCTCTTTCAGGATAGGCAACATTATGCAAAACCAGGAAAAGAGTGAGAAGTAGTGTGCAATAAAAATTAAATGCAAGAAGTAAGAGAAAAGAAAAGAAATCTAACTAGCTCTAGTTACATAGCAGTGAGCACTTACATGGAAAAATTTAAATAGCTACTGTGAACATCTTGAAGGATGTTCCTGCCACAGAGAGTTAATTAATATCTTATAACTTTATTTATAAGTGTAAGGAATTAAAATAGGCAGGCCTCTTAAAACTTACATCAACCTTGAGTGAAGTTCATCTTAAATGAGATTATTTTACCTCATGTATATATTGTTGACTGAGACCTAGTGGGATGTTCAAGAACTTTTTAAATTAAAGTTAAACTAAAATTAGAAACCTTTTACTGTGGTTCTGAAGCCACAAACATGCCAACTTTAGCTAAGAGTTCATTGGAGCAAAGTTCTCTAAATTTGGAAATGTATCCAGAGTGGATTGCATTATCTCAGAATTCATGCTTCAGCCACATAAAAAATACATTTAGCAAAAAATCTGCTTTTTGCGCGAATGAGGGTATCATTCACAAAAGGAGTGGTTTTCAGAATAGGTTAAGAATAGGAGGACTTTTTTGCTGTTCTCGCTCAGCAGTACTTTTCTCTAGAAATCATCTTATTAATTTTTTTTAAGGGATAAAAAAAACCTGCTCTCCACAGCCTTCCTAAGCACTTTCCATCACTGCTCTGTAAGCCCAAAATACTACAAAACTCCACTAACAAGCTATCTTCAGCCCTATAAGGAAATAATCTGATTTTTTTGGGGAGATACTTGTTTTGTTTGCTTTTGGTATTTGGTAGTCACAATATGAAATCTCCCGACATGTGTGGGCTACTGTTTCTAAAAGAAATTGGCTGTTACATGGTAAAACTGATTTTCTTCCTTCTTTGTATACTGCCCACAAGCATTATGTTACAACAACAAAGTCCTAGATATCAGAAAATACAATAAGGAAGTTAATCCTTTGTCTTTTAATAATCAATCAGGTACCTTTTTATAAGAGGCTGTGCACATTTCCCCAGAAATAAGAAAAATGGCTGTTGACCACGCATGTCCATGGGCAAACACACACACACACACACACACACAGAGAGAGACACACACACGTATTACAAGTCAGTGATTATTCTAATGCCGCCATGAGTTTATATACTAAAGTCTGAAAATTTTCTACGTTTTTCATCAAAATGAACAAGTAGGCAAAAAAATTGTTATGTTTTTTCTCATGAAATTTCCCATGCTTGCTGGGAGTTAAGAATATACCTGTCTTTTGATCTCAAGTAATATTGAGCCCAGTTCTAGAAAAGTTATTACTTCAGCTTGTATCCTAGGCAGCTTGACTTTTATGCATAATTATTTAGAAGTCATATAGTCTTCAGAGAACATAGAAAAGGAATTCAATCTTTTTTCATTGTTCATTAAACTCTTTCTTTATCAAAGAAGATAGGCAGCCTATATAGCAATTAAATAAATTAAAATAGGTGTCGAAGAGCTACTCTTTCATGCATATTGGAAACATTTACTTATTACCATTTGTAAAGTGTATAGAATATATTTATTATATACAAGCAGAAAACAATTCCCCACCCTATTCCCCATGTTTAAATGCCACAATTCAAAAGGAAAAAGAGGACAGAGGAAAAAAATAGTTTTTAAAGTTATTACTAATTACCAGTTTGAGTGGAAACAGATAGTTTAGAAAGGGGAGGATGTGAAGTTAATTTTAAGTGAATGGCTCAGCTAAGCTACCCTAATGAGGATGTGCTTGCAGTTCTTTCATTGTTTCAATGAGGTGGAGCCTCACTTTGTTGCTAAAAATGAAACAAGGGCACAATTGACCAATATTCTAAAAGTGTTGATTGAGAACGCCTCTAATATCTAAAGCAGTGTTTTGGGTTTTTTTTAATCTTCTCTTTACCATGCCCTCTTGCTGCCTTTACATCCCGCCCCCACCTGCCATCTTGTAAGAGTTTAACTGTGATATAGCAATTCGGGGCAATAATAAAGTGTCTGTAAAGAAACTTGGAATTTACAAACTATTACAGGTAGTCCTCAACTTACAACCACATTGGAGTCCAAATTTTTTGTTGTTAAGTGACTTTTGCTCCATTTTACAATCTTTCTTGCCACAGTCATTAAGTGAATCACTGTGGTTGATAAGTTAGTAAGCCAGCTGTTAAGTGAATCTGTTTTCCCCAGTGACTTTGCTTGTCAGAAGGTCTCAAAAAGAGATCACATGACCTGGGACACAGCAACGGCCATAAATATGAATCAGTTGTAAAGTGTCTGAATTTTGATCCCATGATTATGGGGATGCTGCAAAGGTTGTAACTCTGAAAAGGGTCCTACGTCCCTTTTTTCAATGCTGTTATAACTTTGGATGGTCATTAAATGATCTGTTGTAAGTCAAGCACTACCTGTACTTAAGTAGTAATAGATCTAGGAATTTTCCCCCTAACTCTATAAACAATTGCTATCCTCCTTTTTTCTTTGCTTGAAGCAAACCATCCGTGTTCCCGAGATAATGGGAAATGTTCACACCTCTGTATAGCAAAAGGAGATGGGACTCCAAGGTGTTCCTGCCCTGTTCATTTGGTACTTCTCCAGGACCTCTTAACGTGTGGAGGTAAGTAATCTTAAGCAAAAGCTTTCCTTTCAGAAAAGATTGGCAAGCATTCAAGCTTCACAAGTCAGATGTATTTGTACTTCATGGCTCTAGAACAGTTCTCCTCAGCTACTGCTCCCTAGATGTAGCAGACAATGTGAGAATTATTTGAGTTAAACTCAGAGAGATCTGCAGGGCCCCGTTTTGTGGGAAGCCTTCACGTTGCTTGACCGGTTCATGCACTCAATCCCTTGCCATTGGCAGGCAGTATTTGCAGCCAAATGAGATTATGAGAGCAACTTAAATTCAGCAGGTAAATTTGACTACCATTTTTACATACATAGTCATCTTTCTGTAACTGTGACAGTATATTAACAAGACCTGTATAATATCTGTACTGTAGTTGGGAGGGAGTGTTATAAAAATCATAGCGAGTCTAATGTACGCTAATGTACACAGAACTGCAGTGCATTTTACTGTTTTCATAACTATGCTGGTTGTTCCCACCAAAAACTGTGTTGTGATACTTTATTCATTATCTTGAGGAAATGCTGTAAGAAAATCTCACTGTAGTGTTATCTAATTGTTTCTTAGGCTCTGTATTTCAGTGAAATATAATAGAAGGTTGGTGGAAAAAGTAACAGCAAGAGTCTTTTTTATTTGCTTCCCCTTAAAACAAGTATAATCTAAAACTATTCCATCCAAAATATATTGCAGCTGGCCCTCGTATTAGATTGTCTGCTGAGCAGCAGAACTTCTATTTTGTCTAGACTGAACCCCAGGTTTTTTAAATCCATATTGAGGACCTGCTCAGAATCACTCAATGAGTTGTAAACTAGAGATGGGTTATATTAACCAAGTGATCAAATTCAAACCATGAACCCTTGAGTGATCTCATCAATACATCATGTAGATATTTGGAGACCGAGTTCATACTGAGAGATTCTCTGTGCAATAGTGCCTTTGAACTTCTTCAAAGTGATGCAACTAATCAAACATTCCAGGAAATGCTGTGATTGGAGTACTAAATACTACTGAGAACAGTCCTGTTTGTAAATGACATCTACCCTCAGTGTTTCTTTTACCCGTTCTCCTTCCTTTCTCATTTTGCTTTGAGGATTTAAATAAAATAATCTACACAAGGCTATCCTTATTATTCCTCGGGGATAACAAAACCACAGAAAAGAAGATTTTATAAAAAATATAGTGCCCCAATCATCATTTAAAACATGCATAATATGCACAAAAAATCCACACAGAAATCATCTCCAAATTTGGGGTTATGTGAACTCCTTTACTGCAGATAATGAAATCTAGTCTGTATTTCCTCTGAATAAAGGAATCACAAATAACTAAGGGAACCTGTTTGTAAGCCGCCCAGAGGCTTCTAGACAAGATGAGTGTCACATAAATACAATACAAATATACATATAGACACACACACACACACACACACACACACACACACACACACACACACCTGTCTTTGAGTTGTTTTTAATTAAAGATTTCTCTGTGAAGTATAAATCGCATGGAAATTTTTTTCTACTAACAACAGGCCACTTTTGGATGCAGTGAGTTTTAATTAACTAGTTCTGTTTTCTAAATTTGTAGATAGCTTCTTAAAAAACAAGATTTGACTTTAGGAACTGATATCATCCATATGATGAAGGCCTTAATAGTTCATAATTTCCTTACAAAGCTAATTACATATAACATTAAGTCATAAGTCACTGCTTGGAGCTTAGTTTCTGAGTTTACATTTAATATTCCAAAAGTGTGGCTTCCGTGTATTTTACAAAAATCCTGGAAATTGTTACTTTGGGTGGATAAACAAAAGGCAGTAGGAAATAGCATAATTGTGCTGTTATAATTACATACAAATGGCATTACGTAGAATCGATACCTTGCAACTCAGCGTTAAGCACTATGGTGCTATGTTTTTAGCTAAGAGTTTCCCCTATTTCAGTGTATATATACTGTCCAAATTTGTCCATTTTATTCCAATATATCCTTTCTTTGCTTTTATGGAAGAAAACATTTTTCAAATATTTATGGCTATATTTTCTGTGAAAATAAACATCTCCTCTCATCAGGAAGGCTTTTTTCTCCCATCTTTGCAGCTTAAAACTTCCTTTTCAAGTTTGTTTTGAAAATACTTCTTTCTCTTAAATGACACATTTGCTGTACTATGAGCTCTCCAGGGATCTCTTATAAACAGTTTCTGTCTTGCAACCACAACATGCTCTGTGGTATTGGAGTTTTACATCTATTCTATGGAGAAAGAAATCAGTTTATTGGCCCATGTTTCTCCATTTGTGAGAGATTCCTCATGACAAATGCACTCTTCTTATTTATGCTGAATCTCACGTTTACATACCATTCCTAATACAGTAATTTTATATTTATCCTTGTCTTTTCTCCTAGCATCCTAATTTGAAATCTTCAGTATATCAGATTTGTCAACCATCACAGGCATACTTATGTAGTCTCTCTGCAGTCACTCTATTCAGGGCCAAAATACTGAGCCTGATATTTTATGGTAGATTGTACCTATAAAGATGCCAAAAAAATATGTGGGGGTGGGATGGGAATTCATTGTGAGTTTTTTAAAGAATAGTGATCCAAGTGACTCACTGCATTCAATAAACCATTTGTTCCTTGTGTACAAGTGTACACATGGGGAAAAATGCATTGTCTCAGATCTCGTTTACCTATTGTGAATTTTCAACTCAAGCCTTAAAAATCAAGGGATCTAAGAGGGCCTTATAAGAGATCGAACAACGTCCTGGATTTAGGCGTATAGAAGTACAAGAGCAGAAACTCTCACCATTGTGTGGCCAGCCTTTGGAAAAAAACTTTTTCCAAGAGGTGTAGAAGGGAAATAGAGTAAACTCTTTCAACATCTCTGCGTGGAGAATGTAGCTCAAATCAGCATTACATGTTTCACTCAGTTGTCCATTGTACCATTCAAGGTGCTCTGAATTAATTTCACCCCTCTTTAAAAGTGGTCAAATGAAATTCTTCCAGATGTCATATGGAGAGAAAAAAAAACTTATTAACTGATAAATCCTTGGAAAAAAGGCACAAAATGTTCTGTGATTATTGTTTTAAGGAAACTTTGGGTATAAATAAGATCTTGTTATTCATATTAGAAATCAATTGGCTAGACAGATTAATTTCAGTTGATTGTAATTTGTTCTATAAGAATTTTGTTCTATGAAAAAAACATTTGATTATTGTTATCAACTGGCTTTTTTTCAAACACGTTTTTTATAAGTAGCTGTCACAAGCATTTTAAGTTTGAATGGCAAGTTTCTTCATGAAAGGCAGATTTCAATACAGGGACTTGAAGGAAAAGCTAGTTTATTTTTTAATTATGTAAATGCAGCTCTTCTTAGTTATCAATTCATTTATTGCAGTTATCTAATTACAGTGTTTCATGTTAATTACTTAATTATAATTTAGACTTAGTGTATGGTACACAGGACACTTATTTTTTAGGCATTGAATTTGCTCCTTTTGGAACTAGTTTTCCAGACTAAATCGCAAATTGAAATTTGTTGTCTCTTTGAGACTGACATTTCCAAACATAGCCTCCAAATAATAGATTGCAGATTTTCAATACATTCAGGGGGTTCTGCATATTTTATGTCTTATTTGTAAAGGTGGTAGAGTTGCCTTGTCTGGGCAGAGTGATTGTTCAGGCTGATTGAAATAAATTTCCTAATGTTACAGGATATAGTACAAGGGCTTTACCATGGGTGAAATCAACTTACTTTTGCTACCAGTTCACAAATGTGAGAACCTTCCACGCATGCCAGAGCACCAAAAACAGGATGTGATTACGTCCGGGCTGGTGGGCTGAGCCTCCTGCCGCCGTCTCTATCGGTTCACTCGAACCGGATAAAACCAGCTAAATAGCACCACGGGGCTTTACAAAGATAAAACAGTGCATTCTTTGTTGTAAATTATTTAATATTTTGAAGAGTTTCCTGCAGTTCTTAAAAAATTCCTTTTAGAGCCACCAACCTGTTCCCCGGATCAGTTCACGTGTGCAACTGGGGAGATTGATTGCATTCCCATGGCATGGCGTTGTGATGGCTTTTCCGAATGTGACGATCAGAGTGATGAAGAAAACTGTCCCATCTGCTCAGCAACCCAGTTCCAATGTGAGAAGGGACAGTGCATCGATGCACATTTGAGATGTAATGGAGAAGTTGATTGCCAAGACAAATCTGATGAATCTTATTGTGAAAGTAAGAGCTATATATTTTATCTTATTTATTTATTTATTTATTTTATTAGACTTATATACCGCTTCATAGGGCTTTCAGCCCTCTCTAAGCGGTTTACAGATTTTTAGCAAATTGAGTCAGCAAATTGCCCCCACAGTCTGGGTCCTCGTTTCACCCACCTCAGAAGGATGGAAGGCTGAGTCAACCTTGAGCCGGTGAAATTTGAACCGCTGAACTGCAGATAACAGTCAACTGAAGTGGCCTGCAGTACTGCACCCTAACCACTGCGCCACCTCGGCTCCTCCTTATGTTCAACACATGCACGTTGTTAGATTCAGCAATGAGGGAAGCAAACGGAACTATGCTTATACATATACACCTATAGATCTCAGCCTAGTCAAACAGGAGAGGTGGTAGAAGGGAAGCTGTCAGGGCCTGTATGAGAAAGGACAGTCTTAAAATGACCCCCTCCAAGACAAATTAGTTTTGAATTTCAAGGTCAAATGATGTTCACTCTGAATGGAGTTGCATTCCCCTATTCAGATATGGTTTGCAACTTGGGGGCTAGCAGCTGTGACCAAGAAGGCTTTTGTTTAATTATATCTCATGCTCCAGTTGCGATCTTTATTGTGGGGCTCCTACTTACAATCACTTTACATAGGGCTGCCTTCGGAAAGCATTTGGAAGCTATAAATGATACAAAATGCAGAGTCCTAGACAGTGATGGATACATCCCAATATTCTTGGATGGCTCGACTGTTTTAGGACTTGTGTTGGTTGCTGGTTGGCATCTGGATGCAATTCCAAGATTCTGGCCCTACATGATTCAATACCAGATTCTCTGAGGCCTGTCTTTTCCCACATTCATTTGATGTCCATTAAGATCAAATAAGGTTTAGGCCTCCAGATCCTGTCCTGTATAAGAATGCTGCTGGATGAGACCCCAGAAGCCAGCATTTTCTATCAAATCTTCCAGACTTTGGCATGCCTTCCCTCCTGATTTTCAGGAGAGCAATTGTGGCTGTTTTCTCTCCCCCACAAGTGCAGGCATAGATTTTGAATTGTCCTGTACATTTTCTTGAATGTATATTTTTGATCATTTGCTTTATGGTGAATGGTTAATAAATCAAGTGAGTTTTTGTTGCTGTTGTTAAGGAGATTTCTTGTTCAGTGAAGTTATTATTAGCCATCCAGAGCCTTCCAGAAAAAAGCAGCATATAAATAAAGCAAATGTAATGAATTAATTAATCAAAGTCACTGCCTATAGCAATAATTCATTATTGAGTTTTATTTTCATATTCTTGTTATATAAAACACCCATTCCAAAAGTAGAATAAAACATTCTGCTTAGGCACTCCTAAATGATGCCAGGCCATCCTTGTCACATTCTTCATAGCCTTCTATTCCTTCCCCCTCCCCTACATTTTTTAAATTGTGTCCTCAAGCCACAAAGGTCCTTCCCTTTTTTAAGGGATTAGAGTAAACTCTAGATTGACACTATGATAGTTCATCCTCCCATATCTTTGGCGCTTAACAGAAGACTGTGAGTGGTTTGCATTTATGTTTTCTGCCAGATGCTTGATTTCAAGAGGACCGAGTATAATGTTTATTTGTGGTTCTTGGAGGCTTATAAAACAACTGCTTTCTTGAAGAAAGTGATTTGTTTATTATTTAGTTTAGGTTTGTTTGATTTATCTTGACAGTATTAAAAATTGTTTGATGATTCTCTCCCATCCTACCCGCCCACTCACAGCTATTTGTCTCCAGAATCACTTTCAATGTGCCAATGGCCAGTGTATTCTCAAAAAACAGCAGTGTGACTCCTTTCCGGACTGCATTGATGGTTCTGATGAACTTTTCTGTGACAAGACACTTTTTACTGGTAAGTTGGTATTGTAAAAGGCCTCCTATTGTTAACTATCTTTACACAATATGTGTTGGGCTAACATTCCCCAAATTCCCAGCCAATTTAACCAACAACTAGGAAATTCTGAAGCTTTTCAGCCCAGCATCACTGGAAGCTATCAGTTCATAAAGGCAAGTTTGGATCCAGGGATCACTGTTTATTTTCCGAGTCTAGAAAAGCAAATATAGTTATTTACTATTGCTGAGGCTTAATACTTCTGTCCTTGAAACGAAGTACTGTTCAATGGTGCTTTGCAGTTTTCAGAAAGCTGTCATTTTTCTTTCTTCAGATGTAGCCAAATCCACATCCTGTGAAAAATAAAGCTATTATCAAAAGGCCAAAGCAGATGCAATTCTGTCTTGTCCCCCTGGGCCTTTGGTGGCTGTTCAGATTGGCTTTAATCCCTGCATCGTTTATGCTAACCATAAATGCCATTTTCTGACTGTGGATGGTTTGATAATAATTCTGTATTTTCAGTCCTAGCACCTCTGTATTTGTTGGGGTTGAGGGAAAAATACTTAGAGATAGCAACCCTCCGATAACGTCCAGAATTTTGTAAAAGGAATTGAACTGGCTATTTTTCATTAGAATGATTGCCATTGATAACTAGGTTGCAATAGAGATAATCTTATACAGAAAAGAGCCACAAGGGTTCTTGTAATAAAATGCTACAGATTGCAAACTAGTCTACCCTTCCCCAATTTGGTGCCTTCTAGATGCACTGGATTACAAGTCCCATCATCCCATGGTCAAAAAAGAAGGCCAAAAATAATTTAGACTATGTATTCCTTGGGCCAAATTAATATGGGAAAACCACAAGTTACCATGATCCAGCCGCCATCAAATCCTCCCTAATGGAATTTGCATATAAATAAAATGTAGTAAGCATCGAACAGCCTTTTAAACACTGAAAAGAACTATTGAAGTTATGAAGAGAAGATGCATGAAATATTGGTTCTATTTGAATGCCCCCTTCAATACATTGAAGCTTGGGGGCTCCTAAGTGATGTTAGATTGGTTCCAGGTTTGAGGAGACCCTTATCAATGTGTTATAGTTCGATTATAATCAAAGATGACACTTGTGGACTCTGCTAGTTGAGAAAGGTTACTAAGGCAGACATTGTGAGAGTGGGAAGGTGTCACTCTCAAACCAGGAAAGGTGATACAGTTGAGGATTCCACATCTTTCTTCCTTTGCAGTGTTTCAGTGCAAAAGTATGTGTATGTGTCTTGCTAGTAAGTTTACTGAAAGCCTTTATTTACTGTGACTTGTAAAAAGATGATAAAAGGAAGGCAATATCTGGTTTACTATACCAGCTGATGCGAGGTGACAGGAAAAAAGTTATTTTATGCAGGAGGTGGAGATGGAAGTAAACTTTTAGTATTTATTTCTACAAACTTTGAAACAAATATTATTTCTAATAGGCTCCTGTCCTTCGTACTCTCATTTGCTGATCCTTCTCAGGACCCGGATTGTTGTTGGGGGCAATATGCTGACTCTGTAAACCGCTTAGAGAGGGCTGAAAGCCCTATGAAGCGGTATATAAGTCTAACTGCTATTGTTATTGCTATTCTCAACAAATGCTACCCTTTTGGCACTGCACACATTGTTAAAACTTCTTTTGATGTTAATAATTTTAAAAAATTAGTTGCTTTAGCCACTTGTACAGAAAAATAAAGCACCCACAGTAATTGCCTTTGCACATAAGGGATAACCAAAGTCATCTAGAATTGGAAGTACCAATCTGCACACGATTTGCAGTAGTGGGATATTGATAGATATAATCTCTGGGGACAAACTTGGAATTGTTCCAACAGAATTACATTCTATAGAGGAGAACCTTTTCAGCCAGAATCTCCAACTTCAAAGATGATAACTGAACCTATTGATAACTCACATAAGTGAAACAATTACTTAGAATGTAAATTCCACCCGTCATGTCTGGGTTATGTTGTTAATGACTGGAAGCCTGTGCCAAAAAGGCCCTTTACTATTTTTATACTAACATTTATAGGGCTGTTAAAAGGGAAGAGATAGAGTTCTAATTTCCTTTTTCTTTTTACAGAAAAAATTAAATCCTCTAATGATTCTGGACCTCACAGTAATGCTATTGGGCCTGTGATTGGAATTATTCTTACCCTTTTTGTCATGGGAGGCATGTACTTTGTTTGCCAGCGTGTGGTTTGCCAACGTTACGCTGGGCCTAATGGACCTTTTCCACACGAGTATGTCAGCGGGACCCCTCACGTCCCCTTAAATTTCATTGCTCCAGGGAGTTCTCAGCACGGGACCTTTACAGGTAATAGCAGCAGTGTCTCTCTGTATTCCTATAATGTTCTTCAGATTTTGTTTTGTTCTTTTAACTTTGCCACATGCTAAGTAACAACTGGCTGTGGCTATATGATGATCTTCATTATATTACTCCTGCTGTTGAATCTCCGGCCAAACTACTATTTTAGAATCTTTGGCAATAGAATGAAGGGCAATATTTTGGAGTGGATTCTTGCTTCCTTTGGAATGCCAGCGCTCAGAATTTGAGATCTGTTATTATTCTTTTAGCCATATCCTCTGCCTGAGTAGTATGCTTTGAATAGGATTGTTTATAGATACGATGCAGAACTGTATGTATTATAGGATATGTATTTAATTTAAAGGGATTGCACTTTTTTAAAGCCTTGTGATAGAACCAAGATTCTGCAATCCATATAGACATCTTTTACCACAGTAATTGCTTTGGTAAATTTCATTGAATTTATATCTGAATAAATATATTCTTATTTCTTCTATCCATATAGGCATCTCTTGTGGAAAATCCATGATTAGCTCCATGAGCCTAATGGGTGGAAGCAGTGGTGCCCCTCTTTATGACAGAAACCACGTCACTGGAGCTTCTTCTAGTAGTTCATCCAGTACAAAAGCCACATTTTATCCACAGGTAAGTGTTGCAAATTTATAAGCCAAATTGTGATTCCAGTTCCTATTAGTTCTTCTTGAACAGCACATTTAGCTAGATAATTGTTGAGGAGGGAGGAGCTGCTATCAGGCAAACATGAAATTTGAATCAAACTTAAGGAAGTTAGATTGGGCTCAAATATCTCAGTTTCCTCTCAGTCAGCCATAACATGCCAATAGCTGATGGGAGTTGGGGAATGGTTCTATTTCTCACATATACCCAACTTGAACATTTATATTTAAGAAAATGCACTTTTGACAGCACTCCTGGAAAGGACTATTGTAACATTGTGGAGAATTGCTGTCCCTGCTTATCCTGCAGTTCCAAGTTATTTCATGGAAATAAATTACTATAAAATGTATACTGATTCCGTAATGTAATAATTAGCAGAACATTTATTTATTTATATAACTCTAAATAGTGGCACATTAATAGAATGGTCCCGTTGTTTTAGGAAAAACATCTGGATTTGAAACAGATTCTCATAGTATGGTCTTTCAGATTATGACCCAAAGAAAGCACAGAAGGCTCATTTGTCCTCAGGCATCTCAAATGATTTCATTGATAGAAGTAGCTCCTATTGGACATTATTAAACTATTTCATTTTACATTCACACAGATTTTGAATCCACCACCTTCACCAGCTACAGATCGCTCCCTCTATAACACAGAAATGTTTTATTCTTCAAACATTCCATCAACAACAAGGTCTTACAGGTAATGGCTTTCAAAACCACTTGGCGGATTCTTTAACTCTTAGTCTTTAAATATCTGCTTCTTAATTTGCTTATATAACAGCTTTGGATAAAGAATACTTTCTTTTTCTAATAAAACTGCTCCAGTTGTCAGCTTTGTACGGTTTGATTGGTGGAATCTTCAAACTGGAAAATAAGGCTTCGTGATAGGACTTAACATGGACATGCATTTTTAGACTGCTCAGAAAAACATGAGCACCAAGGACCCCAGTCTGAGGGTTGGTTGTTCCATTACCCAAGCTAGGTAACATCATCAGTTTTAGTAAGGAGTGGGGTTTACTCTCAGTTTATATTCTAGTGGCTTGCCCTGCCAGTGTAGGTGGGAATCTTGGAGGTTCTTTGGCAGTTCCTTGATTGGGAAATAGTGTTTACTTCTTGATTGTTAGTTTAATATTAATGTTGGTGTTAATCTATGCTCATCTGGGTGTTTATTGCTGTTGGGGAAGTGTTTGGGTGTGTGTGTTTTTTTGTTTCCTTTTTGGTGTGTTGATTATCTTTTTTGCACCGTATGTAGATGTTGTCTATGTGTCTATTGATGGCTAATTTGCTGCAGATAAAAAGAAGTGGAAAGCCTCCAACTTCTGTCCCTTCTCAGCCAGCAGAATTTTTCTACAATGCTACTAATGTGTATTTTGTATTTTAGGCCTTATCTTATCAGAGGGATTGCTCCACCAACTACCCCCTGCAGCACAGATGTATGTGACAGTGACTACACCACAAGCCGGTGGAAAGCCAACAAATACTACATCGACTTAAACTCAGACTCAGATCCTTATCCTCCACCTCCTACTCCTCGCAGCCAGTACATGTCAGCAGAGGAAAGCTGCCCACCATCTCCAGCTACCGAGCGGAGCTACTTCCACCTTTACCCCCCTCCTCCATCTCCTTGTACAGACTCCTCATGATTTTAACAGAAGGGACTTGTCTTTTTCTGTAAATATATTTTTTAAATATGAACAAAGATTTTAAATATATATATTTTATGATCTAAAATGGGGTGGGTACTTATAAAAATGTGAATAAAAATGAATGGGCCTGGGCTGTGAAAATTGTACAGCAAAGTGATATTTATGTTGATTTTTTTTAATTTAATAATCCATTCTTTTGTGCCATAATTTGCCTTTGCATTGAAGTCACAACATTTAAATTGACCTCCAAAGGAGGTGAGAAGCAGAAAATAATATGCTTGGAACATTTTGAAATCATCTTTTGGTTCAATAAAGGGGAATGTGCCAAGTTATTTTAACTAATGTAAAAGGCAAGAAGAAGTATGTATGAATGAATGAATGATGATGTTATTTGAAATGCACACAAGGGAAATTCTTGTGTGTCTGTGTATGTCTGTATATGTGTGTGTGTCTGTGTGTATGGATTAATACTTGATCCTAGGTACTTAACCACAAAAATGGGCTTCCTATGCTTTCTTTTGTTTTATTCCATCATTCACTTTCCAAGAGAGTCAGTGCATTAAAAAAGTGAACTTCTAGAATACGTGTTAGATTTATTACATTATTCATCATGAACTACTTTTCCCCAAATTAAAATAAGCATTCAGTCCTATTGAACCCATCACACTTCTATTACGAGTCTGTCAAATTCCAGGCACTGCTTCATGTTTTAGCTTTCTCTGAAGGCCCCCCAAAACAGCTCAGGAGATTTGGAAATGAGAGGAGGGAGGAAAGGAAGGAGGTGGTGGTCATGATAGAGATAGAAATAGAATTGAAAAGTGGAAAAAAAGAATGAATCAATTTTCTGAAAGATTAAAATAGTTTAGAAAAATGTAATCCCCCAAAGTGTCTTTTTCTCTCACATCCAGTGAAAATTTCTATTTAAAAAACTATAACAATTAAAACACATTTCATCAATTAAAAACAATTTATAAAGAGTTCACTGAATAGCAAAACTATTCATCCAAATTGATGCATTTGTATATTTCTTGAATAAGGGTCTACCGAGGTCCCTGGTTGTAAAGAAAAAAGCAAGCCTTCCTCATTTTAAAACATAACATACACCGCCATCATATTTTCCACTGGGTAAGAATCCAAATTTTACCCTCTCTAGCCTATATATAATATTAGAGAGAGAGAGAGAGAGTGAGCGCGCACACAGGAGTAAGGATCCGCATAATCAGAGGTAGCATTCAGTAAAAGATCATTTTATTTGGAACAAAACCCAGAAAAAAAGGTGCTTTTCATCACGGGTCAGGAAGAAAATGAGCAACACGTCTCGCATTACTGACTGTGCTTGTGCTTTTGTTTGATTGCCTCACACAGAATGTTTGAAAGCTTGTAGAATTAGGAGACTGAACAAATAATGAAATATGATTGGAAAAAGAGGGAAAAGCCAAAATTACAGTATGTTTTCACAGCTGCGTAACAGCAGGTACAGCCGGCTTTTGACAGTCATAGAATCATTGACAATGATGAAAATTGTTTTTTTTTTACATTTATAGCTGGGTTTTAGCAAGTATTTCTGGCCAAGTGTGAGGTGAGACTTCTTCTTCCTCTGGCCCTTTTTTCCAGAGGAAATAAGGTAGAGGTCTATCTATCTGTTATTTCTGAAGATGTTCCCATTAGTCTATTCCTAATTGTTTGGATATGGTTTAATTCTGAGGACTTGCAATTAGGATCTTTCAGTACAGGAGAATTCTGATCTCTCAAGAAACTTATATTTTGCAGTCATGTGATTTTACTTTTCTTTCCAAGTTTAATATGGGAGCTAAAAAAAATAGAATTAATTATTTGTATGCAAAAATATCCTTACCTGAATACTTTGGGGAGGTCAAATTTTTTTGGGTGTATTGCCTGTGTGTCTAGCGCAAAAATAGTCCATAGCAATGCATCTAGAGTGCTCAGCTCAAAAATTATAACATTCCGTATTAATAGTAACTCAAATTGGATTGGAAGATAATACATTAACTTCTTCTAAGTCCAGGATTCCATTTCTAGGTTTGTTACAGATAAAGCTAGTACGTGTGTGCACGTGCACACACATACACACAATTGTTGAGAGATTTGCATCCACTAATTTTCTTTATAATTGCTTTTAACCTTTTGTCTAGCATTTATAAAAACATACCCTTTAATTCTTAACATTACATGCTTTGATTTACCATTGCCAGGTTTCTGTTGTCTAAAATGTACTGCACATTAAAATTTGAATAAATAGTTTATTTTTTAAAAGAAATGTAAATAACCATATTAACCTGCTTGCTGAAAAAAGTGTACTGTATTCAGTGGTGATTGGATACTTTAAGCAATGACAAAATAACTAATGCTACCGATGTGAACAGAGTACTATGATGCTTATGGCTACAGTCTTGCTTGCTGTTATAAATTTGTGTTAATCACGAAAATTAAATATTCTGCTTTCTTGATTAACATGTTAATTGAGAAACATCTCACCAAATTCATATAAATGATCAGATTTGCCCAACTGGAGTTGTTGTAGAATTGAGTGAAGTCAAAAATACCTTATCAAGAAATAATTGTTACATTTTCATTATTTTAAATTATTTCTCTCTCTCCGATCCACAATTTTAGCTAAAATATCTTAATATCAGTAGTACTCTGGGCTATGATATTATCCATTTCTTTTTTGACATAGGTCTCAATGAATCACATAAAAAAACCACACTGGGAGCTTGGTCGTTTGCTTGCAGACGATTCATTACCAAGGAGAAAACCACATTCCCATCAACACTAGCAGGGCGAACTACTGTATATAAATAGAGAGCAAACCCCACACTTAAACTAGCACTGATAATATTATCTAGTCTGGTAATGAAACATCTGCAAGTAAACAACCATGCTCATAGAGCACAAAGGACTTCACAGTTCAGTTCTCTTCTGTTAGAAAAAAGATACAGTTTACCAAATCATGAATCAGTGCAGAGATTAATTCTAATTTTTACAAGCTATTTTGAAATGATACCATGCAAACTATTGATTGTAATTTTGGCTTTCAAGAGCCATCCTAGTTTGGGATCATTGGCCATGTTGCCAAAGAGTTACAAATGACATAAACCAGGGTGGCTAGTGAACTGATACGCTTTGGATCTCATTTTTTTTTAAAGCCGTGGTTTGCTTAACTAATTGAATAAATACAATTGCTAGATTTATGCTAGGCCTGAACCAAATCACATTATGACTTAGCCCATGAATATGAACCCTATCTTTATATTCTAAATACAATGCATGTAGATGTATGTAAATGTAACTGATTGGCTTTATTAAAATTTAAGGAGCAAGTAAACTCTTCTTCAGATCTCGCCATAGTGCAGTGTCAAAGGTTAACTTCCTTATATTGGCTTGCCATTGGTTAGTGGCTGTGTGTGGCATCTCACTACCCTAGGGAAATCGATTTAAATGTTTATCTTTTCAAAAGTGATTGTTAATGTTGGTGAAATCTTAAGTAGCATATCTCTACCAACCAGACTGGGTTTTACTTTGTAGAAAGATTTCAGATTGGATACCTAATCCCTGTAGCTGATGTTTGTTGGGGTCCACTTAGATCCATCTTCATGGACATTAGTTTTTAAAATCCATAATTCACTGAAAGTAGTTATTGATCTTGGACCTGAGAGCGAGCTTGCTCTTAGCAATTTACACGTTAGGACAACTAAGCCTTTTTTAAAGGAAATGCTGGTCTTAACATGCAATATACCAAAAGTCTTTGAAAAATATTTTAAGCACCTTTAGAGATGGAGTTCAGTTCCCTGGAAGTTTCCTTTGCCAATTTTATGTGTGGATGTAGGTGGCTGGGGTATTGGATGGAAAGCAGTGTGTGGTGTCAAATTTAATTTGTAAAATAATATTTGTTGAAAATATTTTGTAAATAATGTAATTGTACTATTTGCAATTAGGGGAAAAAACAATCCATTTTATTAAATAATGAATAAAAACTATTGGGCCTGGATTAAAATGGAGCAAAATTAGGCTTGCCAAGTTACAAACTCATGAATCCTCTTTTATTTTTGAGCCGATTGAGCTCAGCTAGGGGAAAAGTCAGCTAACAGCTTTTCCAACTCCCGCCTCCCCTCCCGTGCCTATTATATATCTACTTTTTGTTTTGTGGGATACACATTTCACTGCTCACATTAAATCATAGATCCTTTAATAAACCATAGGTGGCTGATTTTACAGAACCCTAAGCTATAAACTATTATTTAACAAATCACGATGGTTCACCCACTGCAGTAAACCAAACCCAATCATCTTATGGGCTATTGCAATATGTGAACTTTCCCATAGGATCTTCTTGGTCATTTCACTAAGAATGAGGGAAGCAGAATAACCAATTATGGAAAAGTGGAGAGGGGCGGACGAACAGCAGAAGCAGTAGCTGGCTCATCCCACTTTGGTGGGAACATGAAAGAGGGGGAATCATTGGATGCAACCTGGCAATTTACATTTTTAAGTGAGTTATGTTTTACTGTTTAATACATAACTCGAAGGGCATTCTAATTAGAAATGAAACCCAGGCTGCTTTTTGTATTGTATCTAAGTATTTTGCAGTTGCTGCTAATGTAATGTAAATGTACATGAAAATATGCAGATATTGCCAAGAATTGTTATAATAGACTCATGCTGATCTGTTTTATATTTATATTGTAAAGTGTATTCTGCAAACCTAAATATTTTAGCTTTATATTCATATATCATTTTGTAGATACAGTTTGTCACAGAGAAAAAGTGCCTTTGGTCTTTTTAAACAGTCTAGGATATTGACTTGGGCAGATGATAACAAAGCCTTAAAAACAAAGCAACCTTTTACTCATTTGCTCCATTTGTTAGTTTTTCATCAAGCATGGTGTTGCAAATATGTATTGTGTTCAACTCATTCCAAGTTAAGGCATTCACAGGATGGTGGGACTCAGCTTGTTTGTATATGTGAATACGTCACTAATTATGTGATTTTACAGAGAGTTGTGCTTGTTTTTTTTTTTAAAGAAAATATTTCAGAGAAATCTGGGAGAATTTTTTTACCCAGAAATTACAAAATTGGGAGCTTTAAGACACCCAATGTGCTCCTTTTCATTTCACTGTTTATATTTTATGGATGCTAAATATGCTCTTGGTATAAATTTTTGTAAAATTATGTAACAAAATCTCTGTTATTAAATTAGATTAATGTACTTTCCTAAGGATTGGAATTCCATTTAATTTTTACTACAATAATATTGACATTTATATCATAAGCACAAGCTTTACCAAAATCACTATTTTGAGTATTAATTGGGCAGCTGAAAATAATCTTTTGTCATATTAACGTCCAATATACACCAGGATATGCAAAAGCTCCCTTTCCAACAATAAAACAGAGCCCAATACTTGTTTGTCTTTTTAATTTTACAATAGTGAAAAAAACATATTTTTAATACTCTGGGAATCAAAAATATATGTATCTGACTGAATTGTACAGTTTAAAAAGAAAACAATTTTTGACTTTGCAACCTGTAGTTCCATAAGTGTGGGGTTTTAAATTTTTATTTAAATGTCTTGCTTTTAGAACTAAAATTTAACAACTTGTAGCACATTGCTTTTCATTGCTTTCCAGTTTTATGCTTCTGAAGTTTCAATATAATGAAAGTGTAGGAATATGCTACATAAGGAGGAAGATATACTGAAAATAGTAATATTATTTATTTGTTACCTCTGAAAAATATTTTATAGCAATGTCCTAGCTTTTACATTCCAGTTATATACATAGAACTTCAGCAATTTGAATTATGGTGCCACCTCGTTATATGTAACACCTCAAATTTTAGAATCCTCTCCAAATTATGAAGGACATTTGTAATGAATAGCATTCTTTGCTACAGTTCAGAACTGATCCAGAAAATTCATCCTTTAAATTATTTTTTTCCCTTTTTTATTTTTATTTGTGCCTTTGAGTCAGCAGTGACCCTTAGCAATTGCCTGGACGATTCCCTACAGTTTTCTTGGCAATTTTTTAAAAAAGTGGCTTGCCATTGCCTCCTTCCTGGGGCTGAAAGAATGACTGGTTCACGGTCACCCCGATGGCTTCACGTCTAAAGCAGGATTAGAGCTCCCAGTCTCCTGATTTCTAATGTGCTGCCTTAAGCACTATGCCAAACTGCCTCCTTTAACTAACACATGGTACTTAATTTGTCTATGTGTAATTCTATACAAATGACCTGCACCAAAAAATATTGTTAAATTTTATTTATGAGATTTATATTCCAGCTTTACTTGTACAACTCAAGGCATGCATAATATTCCTTCATATTATCTACAACATCTCAGTGCCTGGCCCACAGTCACCCAGCTTCCATGCCTGAGGGAAGACTAGCAGTCTTTTTGTTTCACATCAAGCAAATTTAATACAATTTATTGAATATTTTAAAATAGTTTTTGAAAGCTTTAAAGCCATTATCCAGAAAATACATACATTATTATTATTACTTTCTTCTACTGGAAAAGATACGTGTTATGCACCTCTTGAGTCTAAATGGTTTGTCCTCAATGTATTAACAGTTGAAAACAGATTCTAGACACTAATTAAATTGCTAGAATAGGGTTTACTAATAACTGGCAACTCTTCTGTGTCCAAAGAATTCTACAGGAAGGTTGGTGAAAATGAGCAGTGATTCTTATATAAAATGACAACATAAATTCTTCTTACTCCGGGTTGCTGAGTTCTGCTAATTTTAAGTGGTCATCTGTCACTACTCACAGCTCTGTTACTCATTATAAGAGCCCCAAATGACAAATATGACATGGCTGCTTAATATACTGTATATATAAAACCACACATTAGTTTCCATTACTGTAGCTTCTAGGTATTGTGTAGAGCCCAACAGATAAGTAATCTAGCTTCTCTCTTGTGGATGACGTTTTACTACTAATCTATCTTATTATTTCTTTACCTCCTGGCCATTCTCTTTTATCAACCGAGGTAGTGTCTATACACTACCTATACACTGAGTGCTTTTGACCCTGCTCTCCAGTGCTGGGAATGAATGGCAGTGTAAGTGTGGGCAATCACCTTATTTTGAATTTGGACAGATTTAGAACATGCCTGGCAGGGATGGGCAACTTCTGATGGATCAGAGGACAGAGAACTGCAGGTGGATGTGGCAATTTAATCAGAAAGGGCATGTCAGAAACAATATTGGCCTGTGGGGGGTGGGTTAAGGGTTGGGTGGAAAACTCAAGAGGTGAGGCAAACCTCTTTCATTTATATTATTTTAAGAAGAAACAATCCCCCAATATGATCTGAGCTTTAGAAGGGTCACTTGGAGCCACTGGGTTGATGTTTGAAGGACAGAAGATCCTAGCTTTATTTTTGCAAACAAAGACCAAAAAATGTGCTATTGAAAACTGGCCATTTTAGCAGCCAAATCCCAGCAAACTGAAAAGAGGCAGCAAATGGACTGCTGTGGGTGGGGGGAGTGCGTGACGGGGGCAAATGCAGGTTCTGTTGACTTGATAGAGAAGATTAAAGAATCTACTTTTTAGAAACAGCATTTTTGGCTTCTGTACCTTCAGCAAAGGAATGGTGTGCCGAGCCAGTACTTCCTATAGCCATCCAGATTCAACATTCATCATTTTGCTATGCTCTATTTGTTCCACTGACAGGAATGGCTGCACTTGATTAGCCAATAGGTTATTTTAAAATTCAGATGTTTTCTGAAAACCAGTGTTACCCTTAAATCTCTCACAGCCCCTTTGCAAATTTGGGTTTTTTCACCTCCCATGTTAAACTAGGCTATTGGCTGGATATGTTTTGCTTGCAGGTTGTAGCTCTTTTCTATGCCATTTTATGGCATCTGGAAATAATTTTACTTGAGCGTGCTTTTTATCAGGAAACCTGCCAGTGTCTGTTCTGACCGTTGCCTGCAGACAGCCAAACTCTTTGGAACTGCCTGTTCTGCCTTGATCCAAGCATCCATTTTGGGTTTATCCTCTTCTTCCCAGGAAAAACAACTAGTGAAGAAAAAAAACCCTTCGTCTGCAGCTCCCTTCAGAGATCATGCTGTATATTCATGGCAGTGAAAAACTTATGATAGTGCTTTCTAATGAAAGCCATGTGAATTGTGATTTACAGCTAATTGTTTGCTTTAATTTGCCACCTGCTCTGCTCCCACCCTGATGTGTTCCATTAAATGTAGCTCCCATCACCCATATCTAAGTTGACCCTGGGTCAGTTTGGCTGGAAAGATAGGCCAGCCCATAGGGAAAGTGTCATGCTGCAGAACCCCAAATGAAGGGTTTTGTGCAATCATATTTACCTTTTTTTTTACAAAAAGATTTCTAGTTCCTTAACAAAGGGCTCCCATACATCTGTAATTTTCTTCTGCTGGGAAACTACATCTTTCAGTGGTGGGATTCAATTTTTTTTACTACTGGTTCTGTGGGCATGGTATGGCTTCGTAGGCATGGCTTGGTGTGCATGGCAGGGGAAGGATATTGCAAAATCCCATTCCCTCCTGATCAGCTGGGACTCGGGAGGCAGAGAATAGATGGGGGCGGGGACAGTCAGAGGTGGTATTTACCAGTTCTCCGAACTACTCAAAATTTCCGCTACTGGTTCTCCAGAACTTTGTCAGAACCTGTTGAATACCACCTCTGTTTCTGGTGCACATGCCACAACATTTTGCTCTATTGCTCCCCGCCCCGCAAAGATTTACACTGCATTCTGTTTTGTGGATTGTTATTGATATACACATATTAAATGCCTCTGACATTGCTGAGGATTCTTGTATCTACAGAAACTCTTTTTGGTATTTTTTTTTGTTCAAATGCTTAATTATGGGTGCTTTGGAGAGGGAATTTTCTGCACAATTTATTTGTGAAGGGGCTACTCTTTTTAAGTGCTCAAGCAGTATTTAACATATCCAACTGGTACCCCATTTTTCAAAAGTTGCAGTTTTCCAAAAAAGATGAACACTGTGCCTGTCACAACATAGAATATCAGAGTTCAATAAAATGCTATGTATTTGCAGAAAGGCTGCACACACATTCATACACAAAAATGCTTTGGGGATCTGTTTTAGAGTCAAACTTTCAATAAAGTCTCAGATTATAGCCATACATTCTTCTTAAAAATTGTGATGCCAATTGAAAGGGAGACAGAATCTACAACAGAACCTAACATTAAATAGTTTTAAGATAAGTTAGCTTTCATCAAAACTAAAATGTGAGAACGATTTGTTAAACAGAATAAGTTTAATGGGATATTTCTGGTTAATGCATGTGACATTTGGATCCCAATTCATATTCTACAAAAGTATTCATTTCCTCAGCAGAGTGTGAAGTGAAATTTGGAAAATAACTTTGGAGAATAATTTTATTCTCCCTTGGAGAATAAGCTGGCGGTAAGCAAATAAATTTGTCTTATTTCTGCCTCATTTATACAAATAGGTATTTTATTTTTATAACAGTAAATTTTCATGTTTGTGACATCCAAATTTCAATTCAAGGAAACTTTTTGCTACTGAAATCTGAAATAAAGCCAACATAACAGTAACTGAATACAGCTATGTAGAATCCTAAAATAAAAGCTTAAAAACAATTGCAGATATTAAGTTAAATTATTTTCATTTCCAAATATTCCATAAAAGATTAAATATATTTGGATTAATCTCCTAATTTTACAGGAAATAAACCAAAATGCTATTTACAGGTCCATACAATGCATAAAATTCATTTCTAGCGATTGAAAATAAAGTCTTAGAACAGGATTATCATCTTAAAATTGACAGACAAGAAAGAAAGGCTTCAGTTTAGCTAGGCTGATTGCAGTAGTCACTGTTTTTTAGGACGCTGGCAACCATCCATCATCTTGAGAGGTTCAGAATTCAAGTTTACATTTTGGTGAGATTTGTTTTTCCAAACTCAGGTGTTTTTCCAATTTGTGAAATGATTGAAGCCAGACTTCTCATAAAGCAAACGAGAAGTCAGTAGGTATTCTCCTGTTTCCTAAATGTGGAGTGTCAGTTTCTTTTGATGAATTAACCAGGCATAAATAACAAGAGACCACTGTAGCCTATTCCTGGATTCTGTATTTAGACAAGTGTTTATTGTAGAAACATATTCTCCATACTTTCCATGAGTTCAAGCCACAGATTCTTTCTTTGGGCAGATGTCTAGTACACATCAATAACAATTTGCTATGGTTGGATATGAGAGCAAGAAGGTTCATCATTTGCAGGCTAAAATTCATCTAAATGTAATTTCTTTCTGAAGCATCTATGTCATGGGTCTCCAAACTTGGCAACTATGCTGGCTGGAGAATTCTGGGAGTTGAAGTCCACGAGTCTTAGTTGCCAGGTTTGGAGACCCCTATGTGGGTTCTTCCTCTCTT